TGGTAATTTATTGGGTTTTTACTACACAATGGTTACATGAAATCCATTTATGGGCATTTGGAAGCATAGCATGTCTGAAAATTTACACTTTGATCAGTGTAGAAAGTGATCCTACTTCTGTCCATTCAGCTATTTATAATTCTTTTATAGGTTATTTTGTCTGTTTGCAAGAATATACTGTATATACTGGTGAATTCACTGATACACACATAGACATAATGTGGTTTTTTCACCCTCTACTAGGTTTTATTGTTTTGCTTTKATTCTGTCACATGCAGCTATTGACTCAAAGTGTTAATTAAATTTTAATTCATTTTATTTTTCTGACAAATATTGTCAGCAGGCATTTTTTTAATAAAAAAATGTTCTCAGCCACAACCTCCCAAAAATGGATGAGTGACATTGAAAAAATGTTTAAAAAAACTTTGACCTTTGTACAGCAGTGTTGTATGAAGTCTCTGCTCCCCATCTCTTCACTGCGTTTTCAACTTTACACTTCAGATCAAACGGAGACACAAACCACCAGATGTAGAAAAACTGGGACTTTCAAAAACATTATGTTCCATGATACAAATCCGCCTCTGTGCTGGTGTTTATTCTGCTCCGCCGTCCAAACCCCCATAAAGTAAAAACATGCTAAACAAACATTTTAACATCAGGGTTTTTGGGAAAAAGATGCTGTTTCTTGWGAAAAATATCAAGTTTAATGAGCAACAAAGTGACTTATGAAAATATATAAAAGTGAAAGCAGGTTTTTGGCTGCTCTCTCTGCAGCGCCTCGAGAGGAAAGAGGCCAGGCCTCATTTAAAGCCGGGCGCCCGAGCCTCGCCGCTCGGCTCAGAAATGTGAGGCTGTAACCTGGGGCTTTCTTCCTGGAGGCTGCTGTTTAATGAGCCCGTCAGGAAAAAGGGGACTTCAAAATGAGCAGAAAGAAAAGTAAATACGCTAAGTGACAAACTGCAAGAGGCCAGGATGGATCCTGGGCATGATAAAAAATAAATCAAAYACTGTTCACTGTAACTTCAGCTGATTTTGTGGTGAAATGATGTTTTTCACGCCCTGACCACTGAAACAAGCCAGGATTCAACATTTCAACATGTTTATGAGTTTAAAATTTAAATGGGTTATTCAGATCTATTGAAGCTCAAGAGCACTTAATATCTTAGCTGCTTGAATGACCTCAGTTTAGAATAAGAGTTTCATTTAGAACTGCATATTAACACTAAGAAGACCAAAGTGGATGGCAAAATCATAATCATAATGAAAATCATAATGTTTTATACACAATTTTCCCCAACCTCTTTTATTTTAGCWTTATTAAATATTAAAAGAAAACAAGTGTTTGGAATATAGAGTTAATGGAAAGACATGACTCAAGCCCTGACCACAGAGATGTTTATTCTCCTCTAATTGCAAACTAAACTTGAGGAATGGGGGAAKTTATGGAATTCATACATAGTTAATATAAAACCTTATGGGTTTTAAACAGGGATGCACAATATATCTGCATTAATATTGTTATCAGCCGATGTTGGTCAATTTTTAGAATATCAGTAACAGGTTTATAAGTAACACTGGGCCTAAATTAATGTCCAATATTGATTTCCTGCTTGTTGTTGTTTGTGTTTCTGTTTTGGGAGGGGAAAGGGTTGGTCGAGTGGTAATTGATTGATCATCATCATCATATGTTTATGAATAATTTGTGTGTTTGTAAAACACCGGGTAAAATAAGTGTTGAAAACGTCACCATTTTTCTCAGTAAATATATTACTAGAGGTGTTAATGACATGAAATTTCCACCAGATGTCGGTAACAACCCAAGTGATCCA